GACAAACATGATTATCTGGGCATTCAGATATCATGGTTTCTGCACTTCCTTCAGTTTGCTGCTGATAGAATATGGATATTATCCATGCCTCCTTCAAACAGTGGGATATGAATAAACTGCAATGCCATTCTCCTGCTTCTCAAAGAGGAATAGGACCGTATATGGCAAGAGTTCCTGCATTGTTTCTCACCGCTGGTAGCACTGCAGAGCTGGGTAAAGGGCTCCCTCAAGAACTTGTCATGCAAATGTCAAAAATCTTAGTGTTTGTAATTCCTGACATATTTAGATGAAAGGCGCTATAGAGCTTTCGAGTCAAATATTTTTAATTAAACTTGAACATACACATGCAAGTAGAAACAAGTACAAACATTAAGCAAAGTTGGTTGATAAGATTACATTATCAAACAAGAAGCATCTCAATTGGTATCTTTTCCCATATTTAGAACTCCATATTAATGTCTTTACACTTCTCAGTTACTCTAAATATGAATAAAGTTGTCTATATCTTCCATTCCAATTCTCTTTTTCTTTTTACAATCCAAGGACATTTTTTGTGACAGGCTTTTCAAACAAAAGAACTTGCCAACTCTTTCTTCAAGCTTTTCAGATGAAGCATTTCAGGAATTATGATTGCTAATAAGACACTGCTTCTAATGCAACAGGGAACACTGAGATTTTTAAGTATCTTTATATACATATGTATTTATGAAATAAGCTCATTGTGCAGTTTTCCACAGAGACAAAGATTGGTGTGTTCTTGGTGCAGCATAAGAACCAGCATTTTCAGGCCTCTGGGACAGACACGCATCTCTTTGAGCATGGCAGGCCATTTTCTGGCTAGAGAGAAATCACCCAACAGCAATATAAGATGACTGAATGATACAGAGATTTTCAGATATTACTGTTTCCCCACAGAACCTCCAACTAAATGAAAAACATGTTCAGCACATATTTCATACGATCTTAAGATATGTAAGGTTGTAGCTGGTACAAACCTGTTCTTCCAGGACTAAAGACACTTCTAATATATTGGCTTAAGGAACTCAATTGCACTTGGTACTGGTACTATTTACCAACAGACTGATCATAGAGAGCCCAACGGAGACCACCACAAACAGCCCAGGTGTTAGAAAACATGCCCCATCAAGGAGGAGCGAAGGACACGAGTGCTCAGAAACAGTTAAGAGATCTTTAAAGAGAGAGGCAGCTACAAAAAGGGATATAAACGCTTTCCCATGTCTCTTGAAGTATAATACATTAGTCATAGATTCAAAATTGCAGCAAGAAAATACGGTTTGGTCACTAAGAAAATTCTAAATGGACAGGTTAAACACCGAAATAGATGGCCAAAGAAATCTCTAATAATGAGATCTCAGAAAAAGGTTGGTCAAAAATCTGGTCAAAATCTGTCAGGAACAGTACAAAGTTCATTCCCCCTTCAAGACAGAATAAATTATTTCTATTGTCCTTTCACCCTTATTTCCTATAATTTTATAATCATGTTATTAAGTGATTTATTAGGGTGTTTATTCCCAATAAACAACATTTTACAACTTCATTGAGTTTATTCTTATGCATATCTTTAGGACTGACTTCAGGCTCCTCACCAAGCCAGGCAAATCTCAGATGTTTTCTTAGTAAAATACACTAGTATGAATATTCAGCAAATATGCTGAACTCCTGTATCTGGAAAGGGTGGCTCTGAGGACATGCCACACAAACCATAAAGCAGACCTAAGCCATCGGAAGACATTTGGGCTTCCATGAAGAACGAACCCAAACCTCAAAATTCACCTGCTATACACTAAGCACCGCCTCATTTTCCAGGAATGTAACATTTAAAGGAGTAATTAAAATTGAAAACTATTCACTGTACTGTCATTCCCGCATAAATTACAGGAGTATTAGAAAAGGCTGGGCATATCAGCATTAGGGGAGGGAATGTGCTGTAAAAAGCGTCAGACAAAATCATTAATGATGGTACCTAACATGTCACCTCGATATGCAGACTTAAGTCTGACATGCAGGAAATGCTGAATCATTTTCTGCTTCCCTTTAAGTGTAAGAAACCATAAATCAAGGCTTCTTATGCATCAGATAAAGTGGAAAAATTAAAATATTTCTTGGAATTTAATTAGTAATTCTTACAATTCCATAAAAATATATAAAAAGCAAAATCCTCTCAAGACAGAATATTGTGGAAACAGATGAAAGGTGATTTTTACCTTCTCAAGTAACAGGGGATAATTCTACCCGGAGGTCAGAGATCCTCAGTAGGACTGCGATGCCCAGTAATACAAATAAACATAGTTAGAAGCTTAGACTGGGAAAGATACTGCCCTCAAGAGAAGACACTATTCTCTTCTGACAGTATTTGTACACCATAAATCTCACCAACACACCAAGTACATCTCCTCAACTGTTAAGCAAAAAAAAATATCACCAGCAATGCATCACCATTTAATCCTGTTGTACGGAGGGTCCTACTAAATCTAGAACAGTCCTTGCTACCAGCTCCTGTTTTAGCTCAATTTGCTCTAGATAGAGTTAGTATGGGTCTGGCCTCAATCAGCTTTTTCAACTGACAGCTCTACTACGGTGCTGCACTACAGCCGGCAGGCTGAAAGAGAACGGACTTTCCAAGTCTTCACTAACATGAACGAAGAGAGCTTCGAAAAGGAAGCTGCACTGTGTCTAACTGCAAGCCATCTCACTCGTACATGGGTATCCAAAACATCTCTGCACAAAAAAAAGCTCTAGAAAGGAAAAAGGGTACAAGTGATTATACTGACAGCAATAGCAGGGCTTAACTGCAGGATCAAGTCAATGCATATAAATAAGACATACCAGCCATCCTTTGGCCAAAGGCAGGGAATTAGAAGAAGCACTATTACATGCTAAGGAGAATGGCTAGGAAAAATGAGATTAGGCTTTTGCTTTCTATTTAGGGTTGAGGAAAAAGTTGTGAAAATAAATAAAGCATGTGGCAGGACTAAATACTAGAAGTAGAAAATAAATATGATCTGTGAAATGTATAGTATTCAGAGTCCAAGCAGCTTTTAATTCTTCTTTAAAATTCTGTCAAGATAGACACGATTGGTCCTCCAGCTGCTCTTTTTTTTTTTTTTCCCTTGTGTGGTCAAAGAAACAAAGTCAGAGATGCAGCTTGTCACTAACTAATTCAAAATTAATCAATTATCTTGATCAGTGTTAAACTGCTAATTGCAATGCTTGCTTTTATTCTTGCACAGTTCGAAGGAAAACTTAAAACATCCACAGTAATATGAAAAAAGTAACGAAGGCTACATGTAAAAAACCTGCTTTCCCTTGCTAAAACCTCAGTAGCTGAAAGTTAAGAAAGACAGAGCAGATCTGCTTCTGTATACAATGAAAGAGAGGTTACACATGCATTTAATGAAGCTAATTGCTCCTGCTTACCATGAGACTTATCTGAAAGAAATCATTTATGGTTTTTTGAAATAGAGCATTATTATAAAAACTATTTCATTGTGAATGCTACTGTGGGCACTGATAACCATTTGTTATGAAGAGCTGTATACAGTGGTGACTGGCATTGTTCTGTTTCACCACATAATAAACGAAGTTGTGCATGACTGCTTTATTCAGTTATTCATGAATAACAAACATGTTATACCTCTTGCAGGCCACTGGGATACCTGCAGACATATTTATATATAAATATTTTCAGCCCAGCAGAATCAATTCCTTTCAACTTCTTGTACTTTATTCCTCTGTATTTAAGTTACCAAGTCTGAGGAATTAGACGTACTCCAAGTCAGGTTGTTGTCAGCTCTATGTAGTTAATAAGGCCCTTTATGTTAGTATTTTGAAAGAGCACACAGTCATTATGCAGTTCTCAGTTTTAAGTGTATTTAAGTTTTATGAGCTGTAGAAAAACTTTTACAAAAAGTAGTTAAGACTGTCATTTTGACTTCCTCCCCATTTCTACAGAGCAAAGCCTAGCCTCCAAGGCCTTGTTCTGCCCCTGTTAACACACTGTTCACTTCATTACAGACTTACAGCAGTTCTGCAAGTTTCCCTAATCAATGCTCCGAATAATTTAAGAAGCATTCTTCCAAAAAAACCCTCCAATGTACCACAGCATAAAACCACATCACTTCCTTCTTTCCTCCTCAGCCTAAGCCCAAGGACAGATTTCATACTGGGAACATGATCTCACTATGTCCTCTCATCTCAGTTTCTTCAGAGCCCTAACAAATTAACTTGTCTTTTCATTAAGACAGAACAAATTTGGTCGAGATACTTTCTAACCAAAGCCCCAGATCTTAAAATATGCACACTGCCATCAAGACCAGCATTGTGAGTCCTCCACAACACCGGTGCTCAAGGGACATTCTGCAGATAATAGACCCCTCATCAAAAGATAAGGAAATCTCATTTAGATGCAGAAGTGAAATGGTAACATTTTAAACCCAGCCTCTAACAGAAAACATCCCCCTCCAATATACTGCTTAAATTATTTTCACAACACACTTCCCAAGAAAATAAAAACAATCTTCCCTTGAGTACAGAAACCACACTAACACCAGCACACAACTAAATTAGGTGGCTTCAACTACCAAATAAGCAGAGCTTAACTTTTTAACTGAACCTTAAAAACAGTCATCCAAATCGTTTTTTCTGGCCAATTACCAGAACTACCAACTGTAAGCAAAAGGAACTTGGCTGAGGAGTCTTTCAGACCCAAGTTACAACAAACTTAAAAGAAAGGAGTATTATTTCCATGTGATTTCAGTCATAACTGCCTGGCAGTAAAACATTAGAGCAAATATTAATTTCTGAATAACTTCTAATAACTTATAGTTCTGAAAATATAAAATATGGACTATGAGATCTGCTAAACCTGTTACTTCCCTCATCAGCTTAGGCCCACTTTTTATTTTGGGATTACATAGAATGAAACACACAAAAACAAACCACCATGACACACACACACGAGATGAGCCTTGGAAACTTACCCCTCCTGACAACTTAATCACCCTGACTTTGCTGCCGACATGGGGCCCATCTCCACTACCACTGTTTGTCCGCTGCATGACAGTCCTTTTCACGCCAGGTTTCAGTTCCTGGGGCCTTCCTTGCACCGAAGCCACTCGAGCAGTCTGTGTTGTGGGCAGCGATGCTGCAGCAGGCTTTGTCTGTAGTACTTTCTGCGGCACCTGAGGCTGACTTGGAGGTATTGTTCTAGTTTGCCTCAGCTGCTTTACTGGCTTCATCTGCTGTCCTTGATACTGCACGTTCGCTCCGAACTGTGGGAACTCCGTGGGTTTGGGTTGGATATTTGGAACTACCGGATCTTGCTTTCTAACAAGGAGTCTGTTTTTCACATTTTGCCTGGTCTGTAAGCCAGAGTGGGGTATGTAAGGGCTGCCATTGGTGGGGAACTCAGAGGAGTCGTCCTCCTGCTGGGTGTAGGACTGTTGCATAGAAGGTTGTTGCTGCTGCTGCTGCTGCGCAAGTCTTTCGAGCAATTCCCTCTTTCTAGCACCAGCCTGCTGCTGCCGCCTCAGCTCCTTTTGTTTCAGAATTTCTTCTCTTAGACGCTTTTGCTCTTCTATCTTCAAACGATACAATCTAGTTTCTTCATCTTCGTCTGGATACTACAAAGGAAAATACAAATGAATTTTTTAAATTCTCAACAAATGACCAGCTTGGTCAAAACAACATTAAATTGTTGTTTCAGATGTTGTAAAGCTATAACTCTCTGAAGGGCTTTTTAAATTATCCCCGATACCAAACTAAGCCTATTAGTAGACTATATCTGCTGGTAAGGTTTATTTGCTATTCATTACAGACAAACAGCTGAAATCTGGTTTAGGACTTAGATATACTTCTTCCTAGACAGAAAAGCTTTAATACCAGTTGAGAAATCTTATCAGAATACTAAAATAAGAAAAAAAAATTTTTTTACAACTTGGAACTCATTTAGAAGTTTCTGAAACCAATTAAACTATTAATATAATTCAAGATATCAAAATATGTTTCAAATGGAAAGTAACAATACGGAGGCAACCCACTGTCACACAGGTTTTATCTTGCTCTTTTCTGACAAAGTAACAAAAGGTAGGGTGGTAAATGACCTGAAAGGCCCTGATTAGAACTATTGATTTTTCTCACAGAATTTTCAGCCTGATCTCAAACTCATTTGTCACACAATAATTGGTTATAATGAACAGCACAAGTCAATCTCTCTGACCTTGAACTTGTGCACTCTCTTCAGAATCAAAATGTTGCCAAATGCAGTGTTGGAATATTAATGGTATACAGAGAATGCCTTTAATATTCTAGCCCTGGGCCCTTCTCAAAATATTACACACCATCAAATAACCTTTCTAAAGGTTCTTCAACTTCAGCAGAACAGGTTCTTATGAAAAGCTGTATAAAAATGGACTACAGTCAAAGAAATGCAGATTCTCATCATCCTGGAAAAGAAATCAAATTGCTCTTGCGATATAATCACATGCATTTTTCAAAACTGCAAAGAATACTTTTTCATTACACTACTTTTTTATTTTCTAACTTGAATATTTCAAATGGTTGAGACTTGTACGGACTGCTTACAATGATAATGAGCACAACATTCTACTCAAGATATATTAATCTCCCCTAAAAAAAAAAAAATCATACTCTCAAAGTAACAATACTTTGCATGTTGGTAAATTAACACAAAGAATGCTAAAATATTTCTCAAAAACTGGGCATCCATGATAAACAGTTCTTTACCTTCCAGCAACTGGGTGAAAACTCTTGTCAACGCAAATGTCATTTTTTGCACATATACAACACAATGTTTTCATCGTTTTTCTTTTTCTTTTTTTTTTTTTAATTCAAGTGCTTTTATTCCTGGTACGTCCCAGAATCCTCCCCAACCCAAGGAAAAAAAAAAGCAGAACAGTTTCAACCATAAAGCTGGTTCACAGATATAAAATCCCAGCAGAGTCACATTTCTATTCAGAGAATCCAGATGCACAAGTCCTGAACGTTTGTTTCCTTCAGCTGTAACTGCATCTTCCCTGAGCATATATTGATAGGGATTATTCCCACAGTTACTAAAATATAGCTGCATGTCTCACACTAGAAGTCCAGCCGAACCAATGGCTAGCATGAGACTTCAAAACTGAATTTTTTTAATTAAATTTTTTTTTTTTTTTTTAATTTTTTTTTTTTTTTTTTTTTTAAAATATGGGCTATACTTCAGGGATGAGGTCTAACACTGTCCTTTTTAGGAGAATGCTTCATATACCAAAATGTTCTGATCTTCCTCTATACTTTTTGGACTATGATGGCGCTGATTAATGACTAATCAGTGTAACTACTAAATTACAGGTCTTTGTTGATAGATGGTAAAAGGAATGTGCTTCTGAAGGAATCTCAAATATTTCATCTTATATTGAAAACTGGAAATGCTGGACTGTAGTAAAAAAAAAAAGAATACGAGTCTTATGAAATACAGTAAAAGAATAAGACCCTTAAGTATAGTTTGCATAGAATGAGAAAATACAGATAAGCTCCAGAGAAGGATGTGCTGCTATGCAGATCTTGATGCAATGAATAAAATTTTCATTCATTTTCAGATACAGTAAGTATCTCACATTTATTGAAATTGTCCAAACGGAAAACTTGTTTCACTTAACGAATTAGTTTATTCACTTGTTTTGCTTTAGATCAGAATATTCTACATTTTATCTAAACAGGTTTGATGGATGTTAGTGAGCCAGTACCAAATTCACCTTTGGAGGTGGCACTGTATTTCTTTTTTCCTTATGTTCAATTGAGGGTATCAATAACAGCACGAGTCTGCATGACACCAGCTCTTCTATCAGCTGTCCTTTATTATCAGGGACAGACTTGTCTGCTCAATTTATCATGTAACAAGTTCTGAAGGCCTTGGAAGATGTAGATCACAACGCCGTAAGTTGAAAACACTAACTCAAAGGTTACATACAGCAGCACAGAAATGTGTACTTTGCAGTACACCTAAATGAGTCTTGCCAGCAGACAAGGACTGAACATCCTGAGGGACTCTGATCAGTATGTCCATGCAACACCCCTTGGACACATACACTGATTTCAACTACACTAGCATTAAACACAGAAGACGACTGACAAACTATTATTACCAACACATATGAAGTTAGATGAATGCTCAGTAAAATATTCAGGCAATTTGATCTCAAATATAATCTGAAATTTTCCTTTCAGGAACTCAACTCAATACTTCAGAAGTTAGTAATGATCCTGTGAAGTCAATCCCTTCTTAAAAGGTAAGCTTCGAAATCAAGGGTCAAGAGCTGTGAGGTTATATGACAATTGCAGATCAGCCTCTTAATGGGCTATAGGTAGACCTAAATCCTTCATCTTCATAAGCAAGTTGCTACTACTGTTAAGTTCTCAGTAAAATACACTTGCAGTTACAGGAAGACCAAATGATATAAAGGTCCTGTGATGATTAAGGAAATATTTGCAATAGGGGTCAGGTTTAACTGACATTAGTTGTGCAATGACCCAACAGTACAGATTCAGAATGGCAGCAAACTCCTTACTAGGATGAAAATAGGGGCAGTTAAACTCTCTGCTGCTCAGCTTTAAGATCACCTTACATATACTATACTATAGAGTGTAGGGGTGTGTATATATATACATATATGTATGTATATAACCTATAGTATATGTAAATGACCTATAGTGTGTAATAAGGAGCTTCATCATACAGAATGGGCTGGACAGTGTATTGAGTCAAGATGGAAACTGTAGACAACGCCTACTGCTAATGATTTTCATGCCATTTGTTTAATAAGCCCAGTACAGATTTCTCCAACAAGCAGTAGCACTGCCAAGAAAAAAAAACAAACCACAAACCAAAAAACAAACAAACAAACAAAAAAACCCACCAAAAACCAAACCAGAAAACCAAGCATTTTGCCCAAAAAAAACAACTGGGAGAAAGCAGACATCCTTCAAGTCATAAAGTTCACAGCTTGCGTTTAAGTTTTCTGTCAAAAGCAACATTATCTGCAGGTGAAGAAGCAGAAAGACTCCGAGCAGCCTTTTTCTTGGATAAACTATTGATGCTTCACACTTTTTCTTTGGCAAAGTCCACAACATGAAGAAATGGTACACGGTATATGGCTCCTCCTTTTACAGGAGGCTACAGAGTAGAAAAGGCCAGAGATGCAAATCAGTTTCCTTGATTTTGTGGAGTTGGGGTTTTTCTTGTTGGGTTTTGGGAGTTCTGTTTTTGTTTTGGTTTTTTTTCTCTGTGTGTGTGTGGGGATTTTTTTAATGTGGAGATTCTCATCCATCTTTGAACAGTTCTTGAACACAATGTATTTTATTGTGGTTTGAAGGGAAGACCAAGACTTAGCTACAGGTTTTTCTACTGCCTTAAGATCCAAAGCAGCTTTGATGGAAAGTGCCAAAGGAAAACGTTACAGGTTGCTTTTCTGAGTCCAGCTGAAGAGCAGCAGTAAGAGAAGCAACAGTTCTATATCATTTTCCAGGAGAACTTAGAATGGCACTGTTGACTGAGGAAAAGAAAGCCAAGACATGCCCTAAAACACAGGATTAAACTTTCTACTGAAATTCAAGTCCTAGTATCTGTAGCTTGCTTTTCGTATAGTAAATTTAAAAAAACCTCCACACCTTTTCAGAGGTCTGCAGGTTTTATTACTAGTTAGTAGAACTAAATGCGGGGTTGTAAGAACCAGATACTGTAAGTCTTCTTGTTTGCTATCAAGGAACAAAAAAGGAATCATGCAACCAGGCTCACTTGTGTCCCTCAGCAGAATGGGTGCAAGGACAGAGCTATTAAAATGGTCTGATCTGTGGCATAATCACAAATCTATTCAGCAGGTTTATCTTCATTTTTTCAGCTGTAACATTAGAAACAAAAGAGGCTAGAATAATTTGTCCAAAAATTCATGACGGTCTTCATAAAAGGTAAGGCCAGATGCAAACTACGTTATTTGGCTGCTTGTATTCAAAACCACAAAATATCTTAAATAAAGGCACCTACCTACACACCACACATTTCACATTGCTGATAACATCAGCTCCTGAACCCTAGGAAGGTGTGAGTCACCCTACAAAACACAGGTGCTGTACATCTTGGACAAACAGGAAGAGAATTAAGAACAAGGTTACAAGTTACTCTGAGAAGCACACTGCCCTCTTGCGATCTTCCAACTGGACAAAGACTGTGATAAGAAGAATCTTCTAAGTACAAGACAGGAGGCACCATTACCAAAATTTGGAAATCAAGCCTATCTGAACTGCAGAAAACTCAAATTCAGACATGTAGAATTTTCAGGTAGTTAATTTCTAAAAAGATGAAAATATTTAGATACATTTGGTCTAATAACTTAACACAGCAACTATTTCCATATTGCAAGCCTTGTTAAAAAAAGAAAAAAAAAAAGACAGCAACATAAAATCCAACAACCCAACTACAAAATTTACTGAATTTGGATGAATGGAACGTGAAGGTTTTCTTTCAGTATCAGGGACATTAACTGCAGTACAAGCAGGAATATCTGTGCACCTATGATTATGCAGCACTCCATTAATTTCTCTCCTGTTCTGAGCTCCAACATCCATTTCTTCTAAAGAGATTCACATCACCTTTCCACATTCTCTCTCAACTCAAAAATCCTTAATATTGCCTTAATTCCTCTTATCCTAAACAGACCTCAAGATGAGCAGAGTTAGGCCCACAGTCATCACCCATACTTTCTAATTTCATTGACAAAATGATTTTTCAGACTGAGGATGTAAAAGTTTAAATCTTGGAGGGTAATAACAGCTATTCTAAACAAAGGCATTTAAAGTCAGTATTTTGCAGCCTCACAGGAACACAAACATACCATTAGTAAAGCAGAAATATACTTTTTAATCTTCTAGTCACTCAGGTTGCAAACCTTTCAAATATCTATTCTGAAAGCTAGCAAAACCTTTAATAGCCAATACTGCCTTTTTTTGGTGCTTCCTGAATGACAGGGCATTCATAAATGTGGCCACTGATTCTTCAGGAAGAAGGACGCAAAGAAGTCTTAATAATTTTCCAGTTGAAGGCACTTGCAAAATATCCTGCCCGATTCAGTCATGAGCAATATAGCTAGAAAAGATGACAGAACTTAACTCTTTCTCTTCTTCATAGAAAGCAAAAGAACAGGATGAAGTTAGCTAACTACAAGAAAAACACACAAAAAAAGACTTGAAAACATTGCAATCTGCCCAAGGAGAGAAATGTAATAACCTACACTACAACAACAGTGAAGAAAATGATTAAATGGTTGGAAATGAACGTTACTAGTGCAGCAATCCTGTTTGTAGAAGTGACAGTAAGTGTCATCAGTGAACAAGACTACCGCGGCAGCACAGCTGAAGAGGGACAATTGCTACTACACTGTTCGCAGCACAAGGCTCTATTTCAAGTCTGCTTTCAAAGGAGAAGGGTTCTGTGTGCGCACACATTCACACACTTTTCTAGTACTGGTCAAGTATATCTACAAAGGTTTTACTTCTACAGTTAATAATAGGAAACACTAGGCGACATCATTTTTTCCAAGGTAACTTTTTTTTTAATCCTGTTTTCCAAAAACTTACATAAAACAGGTACCAAACTGTTTGCAAAGATAGCTTTAACACAGAAATAAAGTTTTATTTGTAAAACACCAAGAATTCACACAAGTAAGATTAGTAAGTCTTATAACTACAGGTTTGTTAGGATATGTTTAAAATTTAAAATGGAGAGAACAAGATGACTGCTTTGTTGGTTTCTGTTTGTTTTTTGTGTTCGGGTTTTTTTTTTTTTTTGGGGGGGGGGTGTCTTGTTTATTTTTTAAATTAATTTGATTAAGAAGAGTGAAAAAATATTCATCTCTCTAAACACTGCCAGAGACATTTCAGAACCAATGCATTAATTTTCATATGACTACACTATGGAAGAAATTTAAGATGCTTTAGATGAGGAGGCCTATAGTTGATTTGCTTCAAAACTTACCTTACTAATGGCCTGAAAGACAGAGGCTTCTCTAAGAGGCATTGCATTTTCTGTGACTTAGATTATTCCAAGAGATTGAACTGAGGGGAAGGGGATTACTTAAGTCATTTTCTCAAAAAAGATCAAAATTAAAAGCTGAACAGCTGAAATAAGTATTTTCTTTTAATATTTCCATTGAAAAGCAAGTGCACAGGAAGTCAAAAGCTGCTAGCTATGCGTTTTTGTGCCTCATTTGTGAAAATTAGTTATGACCATCCCTAATTCAAGAACAAGATGAAAAGCTAATCATGAGCAGCTTAAAGGGAAGACAGTATTATCACAATTAAAGCTTTCAATAGTTGTTGAAGAAAATCTGGTCCTTGAGACAAGATTCATGGTCAACTAAAGTATAAGGATTTACAGCTCAGAATAAGCTGACACTCAGAAGTTACACAGGGTGCATTTAGCCATCATGTTTCTCTGGTACCTCCTCACGTTCAGGATTAACAGCACTACCAGTACAATCCTACCCACTCTCTCAAACTAACAGCACTCATGGAGAGTCTTCTCTAGTTTCCAGGAGAATCTATGCAGGGAAATGGTCATCTGTTCACACTGCATGATCCAGTGGAGCCCAGAACACTGGCATTTCATTTTTTGGTTGTGCAGAGTACTAGCACAGCAAACAGCATCATTTTCTCCAAAATGGGAAACTTAAGAGCATCTCCTATTTTCCCTCACAACAAAAGGTTTCATAAAAGAGAGATTTTCTTCTTCAAGAGCAAGAAGCTCCATGGATGATGCAGCTGCAACATCCCGCATGACTGCTCAAGACCCTAGAGAAGACTGAACAGCCTAAGGGAAAAACAGCATGAGGAAGACACCTCTCCAAATAGCCACTTTTTTTTTTTTTTGAGCTATACAGCATCATAGGAAATGGAAAAGAGGCTTTCTGACTTGGAAGAACATGATTACCTGAAAAAAACCAAGGGGATCATAATCCTGGAAGATAAAAATGGGCACAATGGGTACTTCAGAGGCCTTTACTCAACCTCTGCCTTTTCACAGTAGAAGTGACTCCTCCTCCTGCAAAACAGATTCACCATAGCCTTGCCAACCTTCCAGATTTCTTTTTTTTTGCCCGTGGAGACTGGTTTTGTTACCACATTAAAGAGAAATGTGCAACTCAGAAGGGAGGCCTCTAGTGGCAACCAAAAGTATCAGGTGAATAATTGTGCTTACAGTTCACAAGTCAGACTAGAAAACTTTTTAAAAAGTCAGAGTTTTTTGTTTCTTGCTGTTTGGTTTTTGTTTTGCTTTAAAAAAAAAAAGCCTTACCTCTGGTTCAGATTTTATTTCTGATTTTGCTTGGCCCACTGGTGTGATTGGTTTAGCTTTCATCTCAGGCCTTCCCTGTGAGTTTCCAACACCAGCTACAGACTTGGTGGCAGACATCGTGCTGGTAATGGGTTTGACCTGAGCAGCTGGGGTAGAAGTTCGCCTGTTGTTGCTCATTTCCATAGCATGTGATGGTGCTATCGGCAACTCACGCAAGTTACTATTTCTTGGAGCAGTTGACTGTAGCTGCTGATTTGGACGCTTGATAATATTTTGTGATGGTGTATTCTGAAAAGCAGTAAGGGAAAAAAACTGAAGACTTCCACTCCAAAGCAGACTAAAATGTTTCCTGTTTCACATTTTCAACATTTAGTTAAGTGTGGGAAAAGAAAGTTTTTCAAAGAGGCACAATTTTTCTTCTCACGTTGAGAATATTAAGGGAAAGTTTGACTATTTTAACAACTGTTGTTGAGGTTTTTTGTTTGTTTATTAAAAGCAAAACTGTATCTCACTCACTTGTTTAACATCTTTTTCAGAAATCGGCTTCACTGTGTGATTTACTTTTCTCATCAAAGCAACTATTCTGAACTACAGTCACATTGTCTTGAGCACTGCTATAGACTGTTGTGCTACCCCAACCTACCAAGCAACAGAATATGCTGCATGGGAGCAAACTCACAAGACATAAGTGGCACTATCTGAACCAGAAAGCTTATTAGCAGCGGTAGAGAGGCCTTCAAATTGAAAGACAGTGTCAGAGAACTGGGCTCCCACACAATCACAGGCTACCAGCAGTTTTAAAGTCTTACTAATCAAACCTATCCTCCAAAAACCCTTTATTGCCAGTTGTCGGGCAACTGCATCATCTCTTATTGGACCCAGATCAAGAAAAACACTGAAGACTAGAGGAGAAAAGAAAAAGGGAAAGATACATGTGCTGGTTTTGGATGTACATTATAAAATGATCAAGACAGAAAAGGAGCAAGAAATGGTGAAAGAAGGGGACAGAACAGGAAGGGAATAAATGGGACTACAAAACCATGCTGGTGAGTTTTGAAACCTGTGCTTACATGCCTGTTACCTGTGCAGAACTATGCAAGACAACACTGATGTGTGCGGTACTTACATGCCTTGGCTTCATTGGACCCTGTCGCGGCTGACACTGCATCCTGTTGTTATTTGGCTGTTGCTGTGTGGCCTGCATATGAGGCCTGAACTGTGGCTGGTTCATGGGCATCAAGGGCTGTGGCGGCCCTTGGAGATGATGATGGTGTTGCTGTTGCTGCTGGTGATGGTGTTGCGGCTGCTGCTGGTGATGGTGCGGCTGAGGCTGAGGTTGCGGCTGAGGCTGTAATGGAGGATGCAAGGGACCCTTCACATGAAGAAAAAAGATTATTTGTCTTTAGTTTCATGGTAATAAACTCCTGAAAAGTAGCTCCAGCCTCCCAAGACCTCAAAACATCTGTAAGTAGCTACAGACCAGGCTAAACCAAAAAGATACTGAGCAAAAAACAGAGTAACAGAAGCTGTGCAAGGTAGTTCTACACTTAAACCCATGTACGTCAACAGCTGAAGTGGAAAAAGATGAATGCAAGGGTTCCTGCCCTCTGCCCCCTTTTCTAATGACTTTTAAACTGGTTTTGTGTTTGTGGTTTTTTATTTTTTTTCCCCAACAACACCAGACTTCAGAATTTTCCCACGTTCAAGACACAGACACCATGAAATGATCCTGCACAAAGCCCACCGAACACGCAGGACCTTCCAGCATCACTCTGCACATCCCCAAAACATTTACCCACTTCAAGCAGCAATTCAGCTTCCTCCCGCTTTGCCGGAGGCCCCCGGCTCCCTGCTGGGCTCCGTAGCTGAGCGGCA